TTATACACACGCACAAACACAGACAGGCAAGCTGGCTTGAACTTTGCAGAGCTAATTCTTTGTAACTGATAACATTCTTGGCATCCCACTACGTCCTGCCTGCCAAGTCCGAGCTGGCAGCAATTGTAAATCAAAGTCTTACTCACAGAGGGAAATTGTTCTTTTACTTCATAAATCACAAGGCAGTCCACAAAACAATCGTTCACAAATAAAGTCTAAAGTAAGTTAAACTTTGTCCCGTACAAAGTTTAAGGAGAAAGCACACCCACTTTTATCACCTGTGGGGTGTGGCTCAGTGACTCAGCTCACTCTCTGACCCTCCCACGCCTCCTACGTTGCTGCTCACGTTTCTCCCTACGACGCTGCTTGGGGTCGAGCCAAGATTCCTCCTCTTCACTCCCTGTCAGGGGCTGCTCCGATATGCCTTCCTCCTGATTCATCTCAGGCTGTTCCTCTCGGTTGTCTGATGGAACCTGAGGCATTAACTGGGAGGAAGGTCCTGGGGAGGAAGGCATTGCCAGTTCCTCCCCCTCATCTTCCAAGTCCTCTTCCTCTGACAGCATAGACTCGGGAGTCAGGTCCACAACACTATCCCCCATTGCAGGGCCCTTCCCCCGAGTCTGACGGTCAAGACGTGGTCGCAAGAGGAAGTGGTCATGGAATAGCCGTATAAGGTCTGGGCCGTGGATCATGGAAGCATCCACCCAGGAGAGGGCCTCTGGCCCATCCTCCTGCCTCTCGATCAAATACTGAAACCACCCTTTCAGCCAATGGGAATCCCTAATGCTGGCCACCTTGCCTTCTACTGCGCCATCCTCACTGGGTGCAGGTGGTGGATCAACAGCTGTGGGATGTCAGAGATAACTCGAGGGGGCGTATATATATATATATATGTATATGTATATGTATATGTATATGTATATGTATATGTATATGTATATGTATATGTATAAATGTATATGTATATGTATATGTATATGTATATGTATATATGCAGGTCTAGGTGTGTTCGGGTCTTTTCCCGTGTAAGATTAAGAGTATCTTGGCGACGTTTTGGTGATATAATATAAAAATAAAATTTAATATAAAAATAAATATAATATAAAAATATAATATAAATATATATATATATAAAATAAAATTTTATATATAATATAAAAATAGATATAATATAAAAATAAAATTTTTATATTATATTATCTTTTTTAAAAAATTTGTATTAATGGTCCTCGGGATTTAAAAATATGAGTTTGGTGGTCCCTGAGGTTCAAAAGATTAGCAACCCCTGGCCTAGACAAGCTTTCTTGGCAACATTTTGAGAAGTTGGTTTGTCATTGTCTTTTCTTTTTCAGAAAGTGACTAGTCTAAGATCATCTAGCTAGTTTTTGCCTAAGGTAGAACTAGAACTCACAGTTTCCTATTTCTGTCTTAGTTCCATTACACCAAACTGGCAGAAAATACAAAATGTGCTTCTTTGAAGGGTTGAAGAAATTGTCCTTTGTTAAGCTTTCTTGTCTTCACTGCATGCATGTGTATAGCACCAATTTATTTTTCTCTACATGATCAAACAGATGAAGGAAGTCGTTTTCTTTTGAAAGACATGCTGCCTCAACTCTTTAAGAATGAGTACTTAATGCCAATATACTTTCCAAATGATTCATGTTACTACTTTCAAAATTATTACATACCTATGTAAGTGTGTAAAGAATGTGAAACCCTCCATTTTATCTGATTTTATTTACATTTTCTTCTGTTCTCTTCCCAGGAGAGGAAGTTCATTGGAGGCTCTGGACAAATTAGTGAAAAAATTATGGAATATCTGGGAAAACGAGTTAAATTAGAGAAGCCTGTAATATATATTGATCAAACTGGTGGAAACATCATAGTAGAAACATTAGACCATGAAAAATATGAGGTAATTTAAATTTTAAGATCTGCACCCTTGCTTTTATTCTTATGAGAAAAAAAGGAAATGAAAATGCTGCACACGTTCTATAAAAGCAAAGCTATTAATTGGGTGCATTCCAAATCACAAAAAATTGTTACTGTGAGTAAAACAGCCTGCATTGTTCTAATATAAGAACTTAAAAGCTTTTGCTTCTTATTTATGAGGAACTCTAGTTTCTTTGCACCAATAAAACTACAGCCTTAGAAATCATAGTTCCACACAAGGACCCTTCTAAGCAACATTAAATTATGGCTTGAGACAGTTGTGGGTAAAATATCAATTTGTATAAACCATGCTTTTTTTATCAGTCTTGAAAGAGTGGCAAATAAAAAAATAAAAATGAGGAAGGAATGCTTCTGAATGCTCACACAACCAGATGACTGCAAAGAATATATACATCTTTCCATTCCCCACCTTTCAGTCAGAATTAAAGAAGCTTCTTGGATGAGAAGCAAAATGTTTTCAAGGGGAAAAAAATCCAGTTGCCATTTGGAAAAACACCTTTGGGACAAACTGGATGATTGAGAATCTCCATAGATAGTGCCCCATTCCATTTTCAAGAGACACTCCCTGAATCCAACAATAGTGAACAATATTTATCATCTCTCCACACACATCCTTCCTCAAGAAAACAGATTATCTGGACCCTTTTCGGTCAGTTTCAGATTGAGCAATAATACCAAAATAGCATTGATCACACTTATGGATGACCTTTGACTGGATTACTTGATCTGTCAGCAGCATTCAATATTATTGATCATGATATCCTTCTGGACTGGGTTCAAGGGTTAGGGAGGTGAGGTATTGTGAATTTCCTCCAATCAGAGCCAGTTACAATAGCTGTTAGCATAGGGGAGAGAGATCTCATCCTAGTCTCTTGTTTTCTGAAATTCCTTGGAGTTCTACCCTCTCTCCATTACTATTTAATATCTACATGAAACTGTTTTGTGAGATCATCTATTGGCATGAAGTTAGATATCAACAGTATGTTGATGATACCCATTTAGACATCTTCACCTGGGCTGACCACGTGCAACCATGAAGATTGTTTTATGTATGTGAAAGCCATGGGAGTCTGAATAAGGAAGGCCAGGCTTTAGTTTTTAATCAAAGTAAGATTGAGTGAGTTTTAGGGTCTTCCAGTTCTGGGGACTTCCCTCTTTATTTCTGGGTGAGGATGTGAAATCTGGAGGTTTTCTTGGACTCTCAGCTTCTTCTAAAAGAGAAGTGTCAGCCCTAGTCAAGAGCTTTTCCCAAATCCATCTTGCACACCAATTGCTCCTCTTCTTTGATTAGGAGGCCTTACTCGCAATCAGTTATGCCTTGGTCACTATTGCAATGTACTGTACATAGGGTTGCCCTTGAAGACCATCTGGAATCTGCAATTCATTCAGTACGGAGTGGTACTGGTACCTATGGGCACATCATAGTATATCTATGCAACATCATTACCTTGCATGATGGAGAGATTCCAATTAAATTTTTGCAAGCAATTCAGAGTCCTGGTTACCATCTATAAAGGGTCAGGGTTTTTTGTTTTTTTTTTGCAGACTGCATATTTCTGGCTGTCTCTGCTCACATCACAGATTTGGTAGGGTAGTTATGTTTCAAATCCCTTCTATATAATTATAGCAATAGCATTTAGACTTATATACTACCCCATAGTGCTTTATAGCATTCTCTGGGCAACTTACAGTGTAAGCATTATTTGCATATTGCTCCCAACAATCTGGGTCCTTATTTTACTGACCTCAGAAGGATGAAGGCTGAGTCAACCTTGAACCCTGTCAGGATCAAATTCCAGGCTGTGACAGAGTTTAACCAGCAACTCTGCATTCTAACCACTGCACCACCAGGGCTCTTTTATGTCACTTAGCAGGACCAAGGAAGATGCTGCACTTCCCCTTTGGAACAGCATACTGCATGAGATGTGGTTAAACCTAATCCTGTGAACCTTCCATATGATCTTGAAGACTTACAATAGTTCTTCCCTTAGGTCAGAGTGTTGGATGATCTTGATGTGTAATGGCTTTGAATTTGGAATATGTGGGGTTGGCCTTAGCTATGCTATATTGTACTGTGTATTTCTGTGTTTGACACAGATAATTTTTGTTTCTTAACTGTATGTGAGCCACCCTGAGTTGCTATTTGTGAATTGGGTAGGCATATCAAGCAATCAGATCAGATCAAGATAAAACTAGATCTTTTTATTTTTCTTATATGTATCCATTTCATGTATTCATAACTATGTTTATACTTATACCTGTTATCTTATAATCGCTTGACAAAATAAAATAAATAAATAAAATTAAATACATTAACAAGCCAGAGATTCAAATTCAATCATGCCAAATGGGTATTTTTGTGGGACTCAGTTTTCTTGATCTGTTATAACTGGGACTTCCATGCCACAGAAGTGTGATTGTGTTATGTAACAACAATTTTGTTTGCATTTCTTTTCAAGGCCCAATATGTTATTAGTGCCATCCCTCCAGTGCTTAGCTTGAAGATTCATTTTAACCCACCTTTGCCTTCAATGAGGAATCAGATGATTAATCGGATCCCTATGGGGTCAGTCATCAAGTGTATAGTATACTACAAGGATACATTTTGGAAAAAAAAAGGTATTTCATGTTAATTGAATGGACAGGGAAAAGGGATAATGTATATACAGCTTACACTTAGAGCATCAGTTCCTACTTTTATGAAGGTCTACAAGAGATTTGTGCATGCAAAATCTCATCTTTATTTCACTGGTGTAAAAATTGGAAATATATCCCTAAGGCAAATGTATTGAAAATAATATTGTGTATACCTTTGTGGTACTACATAAGCACCAAAACTCAAGAGCTGTCCCACAATGTACAATTGTCTTGTTCTTTCACTTCTTAACTCAGCAAGATCTTGAAAGAAATAGCAAACATTTTGCCACCAAAAGTTATTTGTAATAATAATTATGTAATATTTTAAAACAAGCAAGGAACATGAAAACAGAAAAACAGACTATACATGGTAAAATCATTCAGCAAGAGTCAATAACATAAAATACTAATAACCCGTGTGTGTGTGTGCGCGCGCGTATGTACAAATACACATGCATACAAATACATGTTATTTATTTTCTTTTTTACTTTCAATTATTTCAACCAGACTTCCCTGAGATCAATGAATGTTTTAAAGATGGTGTTGTATCTCTTATCTTTGACAATGCCTGTGATGCACTGTAGAGGAAAAACACAGTTACATCACAAAAATGTAATGTTTAGAAAATCAGTGATGATGGTTCTGAAGCCATTCTTATAATCCTACAGTCTTTTTAATCACTGCACAATTCTGAGCCTAAATCATTTATACTTCCTATACGATTCTGAGCTTAACTCACAGTATCCACATATGAATAGATTTTAGGATGATGTAGAAACAGTTATTTGTGGATCTTACCAAGAGGTAGCCACTCCTGATTATCTTAACAGTTAATAGTGCTATTTACAGTACATGTGTTTTGTTGCGAAAGAATTGCAGATATGCCAATTGTTACTTATTGTCATAATGATCATTGTAATAAAGCACTTGGCAGCTTTTATCAAGGGAGTATCATATTCACTAAACCTAGTAGAAGTGCTGATATCTGGATGGACCTTCCTTTTTTCCAGATTATTGTGGTTCCATGATTATTGAAGATGAGGGTGCCCCAATTGGGTTGGCATTAGATGACACTAAACCTGATGGAAGCGTTCCAGCTATAATTGGGTAAGAATCGTTTCAAAACTATCAGAGATTAAGGGTGAAAAGCAGGTTCGAAAAGAGAATTAAGAGTTGTAACTATATTGTACACTTGTGCATGACTATTCATTGATAAAAGTATCATAGAATATACAATAAGATATAAAAATCTGTCTATGAGGAAGAATTCTCATAGATTTTAAATTGGGATAATTATTGTCTTGATTTTATATGCTTTATTTTTTACCTGTTTAGGTAAAAAAAATATGTTACACAGAAATATTGAAACAGAAAGCATAAATTATTCATATATTTAATCTTTACTGAAAAGATTTATTTTATTTTATTAAAAAAAGTTAAAATATAAAACTCCAATATTTTTAACAGGAACAAACAAGAAAATAAAATAAAAGGAAAAACAAACAAACAAGACATTAAAACCTGAAAGAGCAAGGGGAGCAGAGCTGCCAGTCAGAACGGGCGGGCCAGGGCTTTCCTTCCTCCCCGCCCGAGTAGGCTTCTTGTGCCATGGCTGCCATATGGTTAGGGAAGCGCTGCATTGTGGCTTAGTCAGTCAGCTGAGCCCGAGGATGGTGGGAGATGCCCAGCAAGGTCTGGGAATGGCAAGGGAGGCCCAGAAAGGGTGAGGGAGGTCTGGCAAGGTCTGGGAATGGTGAGGGAGGCCGGGCAATGTCCGGGAATGGTGAGGGAGGCCTGGCAAGGTTCAGAAACAATGGGAGGGGCTAGTGCAACTCACAGGCTTACCTGTGAGTAGTCAGATCAGGGCTGCTCAGTTGGGGCATAGGCATCTTGTGGGAAGTAGGTTAAAGGCAAGCCACGAGGACCCAGTGTGCCACATAGGAGGTGAGGAGTGACTAAGCAGGGTGAGTGTCAGGTAGGCAAGGCAAGCATCAGGCGAGTGAGGTGAGCGTCAAGCAAATGGGGTGAGTGAGCATCAGGTAGGTGGGGTAAGCGAGTGAGTGGTGACCGGGTGACTACTGGTTCGGCAACCCATGCCAAATCCTTGCTACTGGTTCACCTGAACTGGTGCGAATCGACTGAATATCACCACTGGGTAGATCCATTCCTCAATCTTCTTCCATCATGCTATGGAAAACCTAAATATTTATCACTTATCCACTCAGTCAGTTTTCTGCTGTTATAAAGGAATGCAGGCTTAAGTTTCAAGGAAGCATGGGCAAGCCACTCAGTTAGTTTAAGGTCTGTAAGATCCATAGTTCTTTCAGTCTCCACCAAATCTACTATTTTCAAATCAAATTCCTTTTGTGAATCTGGTTTATCTACAATTATTTGCATCTGGATATTTTTCATAACCATTAAGGATAGAAATTTCTGTCCTTTAATCAAAGAAATGCAAATATTTCCACATCCATGAATATTTCATTGAAATATTATTCTTTGTTGAAAGCAGATTATTTTTCATCAAACTGAATAGAAAGTGGCAAAAAAATAAAGAATGTTAACTATGTGCACTAAATAATTTATAAAACAGGTTATTTTTTCTTCTGTTTTATATTGGAATAATAAAATAAATCATAAGAAGAATCTGGCTAGATCAAATTAATTGCAGCACATCACCAACTAAATGTCATACATAGGTTACAAATAACAGACTCTCCCAGGCAATAGTTTATATAGCAATTGTATATAGTGCCTTTGTATGGGGTTTATGTGTTTTGCGCTTATTTGAGAAAAAAAAACATATATGTCCCCTTCTATAACAATTTGGAAGCATTGATTGAAAATCCAGTATTGCTTCATATTTTGAAATATGCAAATATCCTATTAATTGGAATCTGAAGATTTTGGAAAAGTGTTTTAGGAAATCATACTAAAACTTAACTGAGATAAATTAATCCTGTTGTGAAATGATTAAATGGTAGGAGAAATAATATTTATTTCTTCCATTTTTTTATTTTAAATTTCAGTTTCATTCTTGCCCGAAAGTGTAGAAGATTGATTAATCTCAGCAAGGAAGAAAGGTATGAACAATAACCCTTAATAGTTTATATTTCTAGAAGTAAAAAAAAAATGGAAATCTTTTTTTCCCTATCCATTTTCATTCATTGGAAAGCCAAGGAGAGGCCCCTTTCTGACTTTCTAGCTTGTTGGAGATCATGATAGCAAATTCTATTTAGATAGCTTCACAGAAAATCAAAGTTGCAAAAACCAGATCTCCACATTAAGACTTTCTCTGTGGAGACTTGATATTTCAAACATTTTTCCCTCAGGATCTTTACCATTCCCCACCTACTGACATTTCACAATGCTGGAAAAACAATTTTATTCAGATGGACTTTGAAACTCAAAGGTGTTTATGTTGTTTTTTCCTCCCCGTTTATATGGCTTTTAAAAATATTTGGGGAGGCTAGTTATTTTAATGTTAGAGTAAAATACTGAAGTTCTTTTGTGGTGGTTACTTTATTCAATGCTGGAGTAAAATGTTTGAGCCTAGAAAAATTATCAACTTTTCTATTTGCATTGAATAGGCATTGCCTATTGATATAATTGTACTTTTTTCAGTATTGAGCTATAAACTTGCACAATCCACCTTTCACCAGGAATAGATTTCTGCTCTGACAACATCAAATCTTGGTTCTTGGTTTTCACATTCAATGTATCAATACAGAAATACATTTGCATCATCAAATTTTCCATTTCTCTCTAGCCAACTCAACAGATAGAAGTTGTTTTCATTTTAATTCAGCTATATCATAAGCACAGTCATATTCATACTTGATTCTGTTCTCCTCCAGTAGTTTGGCACTGACCTCAGGTGCTCATATTGTAGTATCTTATCTATATTTTCTTGATTGTAAATGTTGATTAAGCTTTCTTGACAAATTGAAATGGGTCACCATTTCCTTTTCCAATAGATTATACTGAGGCTGACCTGTCTCTATGACTGTTATGTATAATCCTTAGGGCAGGGATGACAAACTCAAGGCCCACAGGCTGCATCTGGCCCCTGGGGTGCTTAGATGTGGCCCATGGGACCATCCTGGAAACAGCAAAGAATCAGCCCATAGGGCCTCTGCCAGCAAAAATGGAGCTCAAAGAGGGGCATGGCAGCCAAAAAAGGGGCCCCGGGGGGCTACATGCGGCCTCCATGAGCTCTATTTTCACTGGCAGAGGGCTGCAGGAGGCCATTGTGGCTGAAAATGGGGCCCAGGGCACACGCAGCCCCCAGAGCTTTGTTTTCACTGGCAGAAGGCTAGCAAAACAAACTAAAAATATAACAAAATGGGAAATGTTTCCCCTTTTGCATTTGAGCATGCAAGAAGGGACAGGAAAAGAGAAAGGGAAAGAGAAAGAGAAAGAAGGGAAAATGGGAAGAGAGCAAGGAAGGAAAAGTAAGGAAAGAGGGGAAGAAGAAGAAAGGAGAATAAAGAGGGAAGGAAAAAGGAAGTGTTAAGTTATTGAAATTTAACAGCTGACCAGCTTTGTAAAGGTGCTGTAAGGCTGATGCAATGAGAATGAGTCAGCATGGTTATTGCTGCTTTAAGACTGAGGATGAGTCCACAAGGTTTTACCACTTTAAGAAGCCTGCCTGCCTGCCTGCCTGCCTGCCTGCCTGCCTGCCTGCCTGCCT